TGACCGGCCGAGGGACCGGCAGCGGGACACAGTCTCAGGTAACCGGCCGAGGGACTGGCAGCGGGACACAGTCTCAGGTGGCCGGCCGAGGGACCGGCAGCTGGACACAGTCTGAGGTGGCCTGCCGTGGGACCGGCTGCAGGACACAGTCTCTGGTGGCCTGCCGTGGGGCCGGCTGCAGGACACAGTCTCTGGTGGCCTGCCGTGGGGCCGGCTGCAGGACACAGTCTCAGGTGGCCTGCCGGGGGGCCGGCTGCAGGACACAGTCTCAGGTGGCCTGCCGTGGGGCCGGCTGCAGGACACAGTCTCAGGTGGCCTGCTGTGGGGCCGGCTGCAGGACACAGTCTCAGGTGGCCTGCTGTGGGGCCGACGGCGGAGGCGTAGTTGCTGCTCAGGATGTCGACCGTTGAGATGAAGGTGGGGCAGCGTCTTAGGGGGACCACCGCCGGGCCGGAGACACGGATGAAGTTCAGGAGACCAGTCTACCATCCGGCAACGGAGCAGAGTCTTAGGTGGCCGGCAGCGGGGTTGAAGGCGACGCTGATACTCTGGGGGTATGCCATGGGGTCGACGGTGAAGATGATGCTCCGAGGGTCTGCCGCGGGACCGGAGGCGAAGCTGACGCTCAGGGGGTCCGCCACGGGGCCGGAGGTGAAGCTGACGCTCTGGAGGTCTGCCGCGAGGCCGAAGGCGAAGCTGATGCTCTGGAGGTCTGCCGCAGGGCCGGAGGCGAAGCAGCTTCTCAGGAGGATGACGCTCAAGCTTCAGCAGGTACCCCCACGGGGTACCCCGTCCCCTCCTCGGCCGCTCAGGCTCTGTAGCGACCGCCGACTGCGGTTCTGGGGGAGGCTCTGGGGAGACCGTCGAGAGTGACTCTGGAGGAGACTCTGAAGAGACCGTTGAGTGTGGCTCTGGAGGAGGCTCTGAAGAGACCGCCGACTGCGGCTCTGGAGGAGGCTCTGGGGAGACCATCGAGTGCGGCTCTGGAGGAGGCTCTGGGGAGACCATCGAGTGCGGCTCTGGAGGAGGCTCTGGGGAGACCATCGAGTGCGGCTCTGGAGGAGGCTCTGAAGAGGCCGCCGACTGCGGCTCAGGAGGAGGCTCTGAGGAAGCCACCAGCTGCGGCTCAGGAGGAGGCTCTGAGGAAGCCACCGGCTGCGGCTCAGGAGGAGGCTCTGAGGAAGCCGCCAGCTGTGGCTCTGGAGGAGGCTCTGAGGAAGCCGCCAGCTGCGGCTCTGGAGGAGGCTCTGAGGAAGCCACCGGCTGCGGCTCTGGAGGAGGCTCTGAGGAAACCGCCGACTGCGGCTTTGGAGCAGGGGAGCCCGCCGATTGCGGCTCCCGGTCAGGAACAGGGGAGCCCGCCGATCGCAGCTCCACCACAGGAACATGCGGAGCCACCGAATGTGGTTCAGTCTCTGGTGCAGGCGATACCACCGACTGTGGTTCAGCCTCAGGAACTGGCGAGGCCACCGACTGTGGCTCCACCACAGGAACAGGAGACATCACCGACTGTGGTTCAGCCTCAGGAGCAGGTGGGACCACCAACTGTGGTTCCACCTCTGGAAACGGAGGGACCACCCAAGGAGGCTCGAGTTCAGTCTCTGAGGAGGCGTAAGGCATCAGTAGAGAGCTCTTGGCGATCTGTGGCCTCTGCTGAGGGGCTCCTGGAGGCATTCCTTCACCAACACTAAAGTCTGAAGCCTCTCTAACTATTAGTTCAGGAGTCTCAAGAGGGCACAGGGCTAACTCAGGGGTCTCTGGACGGCACAAAGCTAACTCAGGGGTCTCTGGACGGCACAAAGCTAACTCAGGGGTCTCTAGACGGCACAGAGCAGGCTCAGGGGTACTTAGACGGCTAAGAATCGGCTCGGGAGTCTCTTGGCTGCTTGGAGCAGCTTCAGGGGTCTCTAAAAAACACGGAGTTGACTCCGGAGTTTCAAAATGGCTCGGAGTTGACTGTGGGGTTTCAAAATGGCACAGAACTGACTCAAAACGGCTCACGGCTGGCTCGGGGGTCTTTTGACGGCTCAGAGCTGGCTTACGGCGCCGCCGTCTCTTACGTCGGGGTTCATTAGAGGCTGGGCTAACGGGTTCACGGGCTGACTGTGGCAAAAGGCTAACTGATGTGTAAGTGGGTTCAGGTGCAGGTTTAGCTGAATTGCTAACGGGTTCAGGAGTAGGGCTAATGGGTTCATGATAAGGTGACAAGAAGGGGAACAGATCATCCCTATCCCCGTAATAGAAGTTCCAGAGATCTGACTCCTGGATTACGGGGGCTCTGACTGCTTGGGTTGTGAGTTGTGGTTTGATTTTTATCTTTTTAACGGATGGTGCTAACTGGCGGTCATGTAGGTGATGGCTGAACTGGACTAAACTGTGCGGAAGTGGACTGAACAGGGCTGTACAGATCTGAACTGGACTGGGCAGAGCTGGTTTTCTAGACCTGGGCTTGACTCTTGCTTGTAGTCTGTAATCCAAATAGGTTGCTATGCAAATAAGCTCCTCCAGGGTTGAAGGTTGATCTATTGTTGCTAGTTCTTTTCTAATCTCTTTATTTAATGCGTTCAGGTAGATGTTTCTTAGCATAGCGTCACTCCAGCCGGAAGCAGAGGCTCTGACCCGGAAGTCTTCAGAAAATTCTACGACGGATCTATTTCCCTTTTTAGTGTTTGACAACCCATGAGACTCGACAGATTTACTAGATTCGCCAGAAAATAGTGAAGGACGGAAATTAGGAAATGACGGAGCAGATTCTGACCTTAGAAGCGGATCTGAAACCGGAAGTGACGGCCGGAATTCCGGAAGTGACGGAACCGGAACCGGAAGTTGAACAGGCGCCATCTTGCGATTCCAACGAAGCCTGTGAGATCTGGAAACGGTTGTTTTCTTAGAGTCAAACGGGGATTTTAACTCACGGAGGGACTGAGTGTGATCAGGAGTAGGAGGGTCCTGTTTCTCTGAGCTACGACGGGGGTGATCTGCTGGGCTTTGTGTTTTGGCCGCAGTGTTCTGTCATGATGGGTTCTCAAATGGAGTAAAGCCCAAGATGCAGAACACACACAGAGGCACTGGTAAAAAGTCCAAAGAGTTTATTTTAAGGTGCACAAGCACATGAATAAGAAGCCGGAACAGTTCAGGCAGGAGGTTGGTTCACTGGAGTCTGTGCAGGGAGCGGGGGATGGCTGGATGACTGAGAAAAACAGGAGATAGTCCACATGGGAACCTCTAGGGAACTCCACGAAGAAGTCTTCAGGTTAAACCACGTAGGGGTCTTCGGGTGGCTCACCAGGGCTGATTAGCTGGCTAGCTCTCCTAGAGCTTTAGGCTTGAAACTGGTTCCCTGTGATGCAACTCTCCCAGAGCTGCAGGCCAGAGACAGGTTGCCAGAGAGACAGTTCTTCCAAAGCTTCACGAGGAGACAGGAGGTTAAGCTCATCCAGAGCTTTCACGAGGAGACAGAAGGTTAAGCTCATCCAGAGCTTTCACGAGGAGACAGGAGGTTAAGCTCGTCCAGAGCTTTCACGAAGAGACAGGATTCCTGTGAGGCAGAGACAAGGAAGAATTAGAATCTGATCTCGCATGAGAAATAACAAAGATTCTTCTGTAACAGAGGCTCAGGTAGCTAACCAACTAAGATCAACACTGCGGCGTAGAATCCAGGTCTGAAGGTAGCTTAAATACTGTGGTCCTCCTGATTACTAGATCAGCCACAGGTGTGTGAGAGGCTCAGCTTCAGGAGGACCCACGGCGCACTCTGCTGGAGGCAGAGGGTAATCTCCAGAACCAGACAGTGACTCCAGCCCTAAGAGAAAGAGACAAGAGAGAGCAGAAGAGGATCCTCGGCGCCCTCTGGTGGGCAAGCCTGAGGATCCCAACACCAAGCTAATTAAGCGTTCTAGATGATTTTCTTGCTGCGGAGGCGGACTGTGAGAAAGAAATGTATCTTCTAAGGGAGAGGTCGGATTTAAAGGCGAAGCGGCATCAATTAATGGGCTTATATCATCGGCAATATTTCGCAAATTCTGTAAAACCGCTTCAGAGTCAAATTCGTCTAAAGAATCTGGTTGTGCTGCATTTTGATTTTCACTAGAAGGAGAAACATTCGGAGATGTCTTTGACTGAGATAGATGCGGGTCAGACATGATTATTCACTAGACTTTTTTTTTTTTTTTCATCCAAGAATGTTCCTCATTATATAGCACATATTCACCAAGATGGACAAACGGAAGCCGGGGTCTTCTTGGTTGCCTGGTGCAGTCAGAAGCTCGCCGACAGCTGCCAATGCCTGAATAACCAGGCGCTCGGGAACTTGTTCTCGGTTGCCGGCTGCAGACAGAAGCTCGCTCACAGCCGTCAATGTGTGAAAAGCCAGGTGTCTGGATTCTTCTCTGATGGGAATGCTGGACTGGCCGAATCGATTTCTTACTGAGGAAAAAAATAAATAAAACGTATTACTAAGATTGACTTTAAAAAAAAAAAAAAATAAATAAATGAATAAAACTTAATAAATAAAGAGTATTTACCTTCATTTCTCAGTCTGCTCAATATAGTGAGAAGGGGTGATTCTAAGAGAGTGAAAAAAAAAATATATACGCTTAAATGATATTAAAACTCAGAATTAATATTATTATTTTATTTTCTTACCATCGGATTCGGGTGTTGAACTAAAAGATGGCTGGTCAGAACTTTCTTGAATCGTATTTTCAATTTTTTGATCTTCTTCACCACTTCCTGCTTCCGGTATATCCTGGACTACAATTTCTCCGCCATTATCGGGTTCCTGGACTACAACATCACCGTCACTTCCGGTTTCCCGATCTTCTCCACCGCTTCCGGTTTCGTGGACTACAACCTCGCCGCCACTTCCGGCTTCCGCTATATCCTGGACTACAACTCCCGCGGCTTCCCCTTGCGCAGTGTGTTGGATCAGCGGCGCTGCAGAAGCGCCGGCTGGCTGTATGTTTCTGGCGGAGCGTTTCCTTCGTTTTCCTGCTGAGGAAAATAAAAAAATAACGCACTTTAGTAAGACCTACTTAAAAAAATAAAAATCCTAACAAATAACTAAATTAAAAAGGCTATTTACTTTCTTTTCTCCGATTTGAAGATCGCCGGAGTTTCAATACTTTCCTTGAAGCGAGAGGCTGAGAGTCTAACAGAGAAAAATATATATGATTATATGATATTAAAAGTAAGAATTATTTTATTTTATTTTTTCTTACCACCGACTTCAGCCGGTGTTGAACTACAAGCTGCCTGATCAGATCTTTCATTCAGAATGGATGTGTCTGTGAGGGGAAAAAAAAGTTATTATTATTATTTATATATGACGGCGTATATTCAACACCATGTTTTAGATAAAATATATTTATTTATTTTTTTATTTTTTTAAGCTTACCCCTTCTGTCTCTTTCTCCATTCACGTGTAAATCACTCCCCGTCTGGGCCGCAGCTCCCTCCGACCCTGGTTCTGCGATTTGTTCGACCCGCGGCTCAGTATGGGCGAGCCGCCCGGCTTGATCAGACCGACAATTGGCTGTCAGCGTTTGGTGAGGTGAGAGCACGGGCTGGCTGATCGACCAAGGCGGCTGTGGAGCGCTCCCCGCCTGGGCTGCACTCCCCTCCGACCCAGCTTCCGCGATGTGCTCGACCCGTGGCGCTTGCCCAAGAGACTGGGTATTGGATGTCAGCGGCTGCTCGGAACTTTGGTGGCTGATCGAGCGAGAGCCTGGGAGCTGAGGAGACAGAGCACCCGGCTGGCTGACGGGTCGAAACCCTGGGGGATGCGCTGTGGCACGGGCAGATGACACTGGAACTGTCGGATAAGGAGCTGGACGTCTGGTACCACCAACGCACGCACTCTCTGGCCAGACGGAACGGGGGGTGTGTAGAGGAGCTGGACCACCTGGAGGGTTAGCTGCGAGGGAGGTAGGAGTCGGGTGGTTGAGGGGATGAGGCGTTTGTTGAAGCGGGGTGGGCAGCAGCGTTCCCTGTAGAGCCGCTGTATGGAGCTCAAAGTCCCCTAAATAAATAGCTGGATTGCTATTATTTTGGGGCAAACTGTTTGGTTGTGGAAGAAATTCTCTCTCTGTCCGAATATTTGAGCGTTGTTCGGTCGCTGTGATGGTTTCTGGATAAAAAAAAAAGTTAAGTAAAATAATTGTTATTTTTCCATCCCGTTTTTAATATTCTTTATAATTAAAAGTCTTACCCAAATCGAGGTCTGACATAAGAAAATCCTCGATATCGGAATCTTGAAATAGATGAAAAAAAAAAATTAGAGCTTTTAAAATGTGAGAAAAAGTGGATCTTGTTAAAAGAAAAAAAAATGTACCTAATACAACGGTAGGAATTAAAGGATTAACTCCCGCCACTACGATCTGCCCTTAAACAAGAAATTAAATAAATGAAAAAGAGAATGTATTTATTTTCTAATATCGTAGAAAAAAATACTCACTGTGTTTCATGATGAAGACGACTGCCCGACACTCTTTAAAAAAATGGGAATGGTGTTGCATACGGGCTTTTTGTAGAAGCTTAAATCCTTAGATCTAATGAGCTGCAAATTATATGATGTTTTAGATCCCCTAAAAACACAGGGGTATCTGTTTTAGAATGCAGGAAACGGATAATTGATTACAGCCCTCATTGTAAACCAATTTGCTGTGTCTGTGTGTGTGTGCGTGCGTGTGTGTGTGTGTGTGTGTGTGTGTGTGTGTGTGTGTGTGTCTGCTGGGATGGCTGTAGGGAGAAGATGAAAAGTTGCTTCATGAAAGCAGGTTTTTGTGTGGATAGAAAAGTTAGTTGGATTGAATTTTAAAAAGGAAACCTATACTAACAATTCCGAATGTGATTGTGATTTTGTGAGTAACGCATACTTTAATGCTGAATTAAACATTGGTCTTTACACAAAAGAAAGCTTGATCTGTGAGAGTAATTCCGTTTAGGAAAGTAAAACAGAGGCTTGCTGAAAGGACATCTGTATTTAAACACATTTTTTTTAAGCATAATTTTAGGAAAATGTGTAGTTGATGTCTTATGAGCAAAAATGTGAAGATGCCTGACTGCGCATAAGTTTGTGGGTCATAAGAAAATCCTTTGTTCAGGTGTGGAACATAGAGTTCATAGTTCTTGTGTATGTGCGTATGGGGGTGTCTGGTGGGATGTTGGTAGGAGGGAAAGTCCATGTGTGGGGACTGTCTTTGATTGGGAAGAATTTGATTGATGCCAGACTGCGCATAAGTTTGTGGGTCATAAGAAAATCCTTTGTTCAGGTGTGGGACATAGAGTTCATAGTTCTTGTGTATGTGCGTATGGGGGTGTCTGGTGGGATGTTGGTAGGAGGGAAAGTCCATGTGTGGGGACTGTCTTTGATTGGGAAGAATTTGATTGATGCCTGACTGCGCAGAAGTTTGTGGGTCATAAGAAAATCCTTTGTTCAGGTGTGGGACATAGAGTTCATAGTTCTTGTGTATGTGTGTATGGGGGTGTCTGATGGGATGGTTGGTGGGAGGGAAAGTCCCTGTGTGGGGGACTGTCTTTGCTTACCCTGCAAAAGAAGCTGGCATATCTTTTTGATTGGGAAGAAAACAATGTTTATATTCAAGAATTTGATTGATGAATCAAAAAATGTGAAGATGCCTGACGGTGCAGAAGTTTGTGGGTCATTAGAAAATCCTTTGTTCAGGTGTGGGACATAGAGTTCATAGTTCTTGTGTATGTGTGTATGGGGGTGTCTGATGGGATGGTTGGTGGGAGGGAAAGTCCATGTGTCGGGGACTGTCTTTGCTTACCCTGCAAAAGAAGCTGGCATATCTTTTTGATTGGGAAGAAAACAATGTTTATATTCAAGAATTTGATTGATGAAGCAAAAATATGATGGTGCGTGACTGTGCAGAAATTTAAGGGTCATAAAAGGGTTATAAGAAATTCTTTTGATCAGGTGCGGGTCATAGAGTTCATAATTCATAAGTCATAAGGTCATGTCATATACGTCATAACCCATCAATCATTTTTGACCTAAGGTCATAGGTCATCATCCATCATTTTTGACATAAGGTCAAAGGTCACCATCCATCATTTTTGACATAAGGTATATTGCTATTGTGTGTGTGTGGTTCGCTCCACTCTGGCTTTGTACTGCCATTCGAGCTGCTGGGGGGGGGGGTGTGGTTGCGCCGGCTGCGGTCTGCTCTTCTTGCGGTTTTGCGCCGGGCGGCTTTTCTGCTCTTGGGTTGATTCTGTGCGCGGTGTGTTGTGCCGTGGGCGGGGCCGCCTGTGTGTTTTTCCTGGGTGGTGCGGTCGCGGTGGGTGTTGCGGCCGGTCGCAGGGGCTTGGTGCCAGGGGGCGGGGCGTGTTTCGGTGCTCTGTGCTGCTGGGGCGTTTCGGTCGGTGCCGTGGGGGGGGCCGGTGTTCGGTACCCGGCCCTACTTCGGGTCGCTCTGCGATTATTAATCAAAAAAATTATCGACAGATTAATCGATTAGCAAAATAATCATTAGTTGCATCCCTAATTTTATGGTAACATTCCAAACAAACTTGGTACATAATCCAGCAGTGAAGTGGAGAAAACAGCCAACCAGACAAACAGGTTAATCAGGCAAACTATACTAAAATTCATGTGGCATCATTTGTGAGCTCCAACAGAGATCACAGAATCCATTTACTGAACAAAATGAAACTCTCACCTGAAGCCACTTCTCTCTCTACCTGTGCTGCAACATCATCACTCATTGGTTGACTTCCCTAAATTGTTTGTACTAATTTCCTTATGGACGGTGTGGAATTCTATTTAAAATAAAATCAATATAAATAGCGTTCCTCTGTTTGTCTTTATCCTTTTTCTAGAAGTAGAAATAGTAAATTAAATAGCAATGTTATTATGTGGAACCCAAACTATTCTTTCTAAACAAAAATAGCAGGTGTTTAGGCGCCATCTGGTGTTCTTATACTCTATAAAATAAATAAAACCTGCTATTAATACCTGATCTAACTCAAAGGGTAATCAAAATATTAAAACAGTAACAAAGAAGTATTAATAAAAGGGAAACAATCACATTTTCCTTTTCAGACGGCTAACCCTAACCAGAATTGTTGATAGTCTTTGCTTGTCCATTTTACCAGCAGTCTTCAGAACTCCTGTCTGACTCAGAATATTTAGTTTTATAAAGGAAAACAAAGGTTTTTGTTGATAAAATGTATTATACTTCAGAATTAGCTATTATTTTGAAATGCTAACATTTGTTCCACAGATCAAAACACTCTCTTGTGATGAAGTAAATTAATCTACACCAATGATTAGAATATATTGGATACATGTTTTACATATTGAATAAATGTTTTACACTAAATACATTTATGTTATACAGGTCACAGAGTCCAAAAGAATGTGCGCCACCGAATATGGAGAGATACAGAGCAGCGTGTGTGTATAGCTGCCTTCCAAAGCCAAGCAGAGCAGTGTGTGTGTGTGTGTAAAAGGCTTTTGCGGCTGCAGCTGTGAGGCGCAACCTTGAAGTCTGAAAGATAAAGGCCAGGGTGGGAAAACCCCCAGAGTGAGCGAAAAACAGGAACATTGCAGGGAATTCAAGGTCATTTGAGGCCTCTGAAAACCAGGGTGCAGAAATGAGTCCTGTTTGTAAGACAAACGCATTGAGAATGGGTTGTTCAGGGCTGCACAGCTAAGCTGAACTAATTGTGATAAATTGAGTTGTCATCTTCAAAGCACACTATGCAGTACTGGTCGCACAGAAAGTGAGGGTTTTACTGGGACCTTGAGTTTTAAACTCATGCTGACTTTTTTTGATGTGATGTTATGATCATAAGTCATACTGGATGAAAGCATTGTTTTGACATATTGATGATTATAAAATATGGTTTGGAGGAGGGTCTTCCACCAAGATGAAAGAGCCCCAAGCCCCATGAAATGTATAAGAGGGCTGTTTTCACCATGTGTTCAGTTGCTCACCGGTGACCAGCTCCGTGTGGTTGTGTTGTGTTTTGCAATAAAACACCCTGGACTTGGACTCAGCTGCTTCTGCCTGATTTTTGGATCTTTGTTTGAGACTTTTCTGCTTTTTAAGAACTTTGAATTTTTATAAAACTTAGCTTCAATTTTAAGTCGCTGGAAGAGGTTTTCCCACGACATAATTGGCGAGCCAGAGCTGGAGGAGCAAGCTACCGGCGTCGGACCAACCTGCAGACGGCAGTCAGAGGCGGGGAACCCCCCAACGGGCCCAGAAATTCACCGGTTAAAGGTGAGCTAACTTGTTATAATTTTCTAAATTAGTGGGGAACCAGCCTCCGGCGGCTGCTTGTGGGTGTCAGGCGCCACCAGGCTCTCCTAAAAAAAACTAGTATTCCAAATTTAATAAAGTAATTTCCAAATTTGATAAGAATTTATATAAGAATATACAACAGGCACACTAGCTGAGGAAGGGTCCAGGTACGTATGAATGTTTATGTGAAATCACGGTGTTAATTAATGTTTGTATTATTCTGTATTTGAACTGTTCTGTGTTTAAATTATTTTGTAAATAAGTTAAGCTTAGCACGTGATGTTCTGAGCAGATGATTGGTAAAGGGACAGATTGATCAAAGCGTTTGACATAGTCTGTGGAAGCCATAAAATCCGGAACATATAGGTACGCGTGTTACGTGAGGGTATCGGTGACTAAGGTAGTCGGCGTGCTCCACGAGACGGCTTATGTAGTATTAGGTATTGGAATAAAGGTATTGAGAGGCTAAGCGATAGCCAGGCTAAGGGATAGCCAGAATATTACCGATTAAGCGATAATCGGAGAATAGTACCGCTCGACCAACCGGAGGACGTCTATGCATTTCCACTTATCTGGGTGCATCCGGGGCAGCAGGGAAAAACGTATATGCCACTGTAGGAAACAGTGAGGAAGAGTATATGCCACTGTAGGAAACAGTGAGGAAAAGAAGAAGTGCACTGTAAATATATAATCATTTGTCTTGTGTGTCTTTGTCAGTGTGACGAGTGAAAGAGTTAAGTAACTAAGGGGAAGTAAGGGGTGGATGATATTAATAAATAAAGGTTATAATATTGATAAAGCTTAAAGATATAATAATAAATTAATAGAAATAATTATTACAAAATATAGTTAAAAAGAATAACCTGAAAATTAATAAGGATTGGAAAACAGAATTGGTAACTGAAAAACACAGAGTTATGAGATTGAAATGAATTAACAAAGCTCCTAAATAAGATTGGAAAAAGTTGTAAGCATTATAAGTACCCAGTAGTGATAGAGTCAGTTAGCAAGGGAAAGATTACAGGACAACTTAAATTAGTTTTAGAAGAAGAAGAGGAAGAAACAGAAAAAGAAATGAGTAACACACAGCAGGGAGAGTATGGCTACAGCGGTGACTATGACGAATGGGATAGAACCCCAGAAGTAAGGAGAAAATCTACCCTTAGCCGTTCCCTACCCCCAGTACATCGCAGACATTCACCATATCCAAGGGGCCCCAAATGCCGTTTAAAGCCTAGGACCAAGTCAACATATAAAAGCCACTCAGATCCCAAGATCGAGTTATTTCTGGATGAAACCGAATCACTGGCAGAAATGATAAACCAGGACTTGGTGGAATTGACGGAAAA